TCAGTTCTAACTTATCTTTATTACTAGTTTTAAAGTGAAATAAACATGAATGAACATCTCATGTAATTGCTCAATCAGTGTTTCAGCCGCGGAAAGACGTCATTAAAACAGCTTGTAAACAAAATGTCACATAGCATTTCATTCACCTCAGGCAAGTCATCAGTGTCTCCAGCTCGTTTTTGCTAGAGAAAGTCTGGTTTAAAAGCTCTAGAGTCTAGAGAAGAGCATTTTGAGAAATATTAGACTATATACTGATTTTTTTTTACCTTACCTGTTAGTGATGTATCAATTATTTAATGTAATTATTTAATGTGTGTGTGCGTGCGTGAGTGCGTATGTGTGTGAGTGTCAATTATTTAATGTAATTATTGATTGTGTGTGTGTGTGTGTGTCGGTGAGCCTCGGCACACACTCTCTGTTGGCCATTTGAAGCTGTAATTAATTTGGGCCCCTGATGTGTAGCCGCTCCGCTCTGAGGGCCCTTACCCTCATAATTGCATCTTTATGTCCCCTCTCTTTCTGTCTCATGCTGTCTTTCTCTCGCTCTCCTTCTCATTTCTATCTGGGTTTAGTGCACTATTGCATTGCTGTATAGGAGATGAGAAAATCATGCGTGAATCCCTGCAGCCAAAAGTTTGGGGTTGGTAAGATTTTTTTTTTTATGTTTTTGAAAGAAGTCTCATTGAGTGTGTGTGTGTGTGTGTGTGTGTGTGTGTGTGTGTGTGTCAATTATTTAATGTAATTATTGATTGTGTGTGTGTGTGTGTGTGTCGGTGAGGTAACTATATACTGATTATTTTTTACTTTACCTGTTAGTGATGTATCAGTTTATCAATTTAATGTTTAAATAAATAAATATTTTATGAAACAAGTTATGACAGCCACTGTGCAAATGATTATATTTCAAAAACATATAGAAATTGTATAATTTAGAAGAAAAAACTGCATTATGTGCATTATTTACATTTTTGCATACACATTTTTAATTTGAGTGTTGATTATTATAATTAAAAATAAATAGTACTGTTGTTTATTATATTATATTATATTATATTATATTATATTATATTATATTATATTATATTATATTATATTATATTATATTATATTATATTATATTATATTATATTATATTATATTATATTATATTATATTATATTATATTATATTATATTCTTTATTAGATTCATTAGGTCAAAATAATTGAAATATTATTAAAATTTAAAATAGCTGTTTTCTGTGCATGCATATGAATGCCATACAGTTAGACGACAGACTCATCGCAGTTTGGCATCAGTTTTTCTAGTTTAAAGCTGATGAACATGTCGAGATGTTTTACTCATTCGGTTCGGTTCAGGAGCTTCTCATGCTCAGAACACTGGCTGATATGGGCCACGTTTAACAGCTCAGAAAAAGGTCAGATTGAAGCAGAAAATCACAGTTGAAGAGTAGGTACAGTCATTCACCTCATGTTTCAGCAGAGCCTCTAAACGCTGACTGCTCGGGTTTACATGATTGCAATGCATAAGGAAGCTCTAACTTGACATTGTAATTTCACATTGCATACAAACAATATAACTTTACCCTGCTTTGCACAGACTCAAGCAGGGACCAGAATTGACTTTTTCACCAATTCTGCCAACAGTGGGTGAAGTGAAAAATATATTTTCAGTGCATATAACCGTGAGCTAATTTAGATGGGGTTATTTAGCTGTTGTTCACTTCTTGAGGTCATTGCATCATACAAAATGAGTCTGTCTTTGGCTTTTTGTGAAAATGCACCTGATAATGTGAGGAACTTATGTGTTACATGGGAGAAAAAAAACGTAAGGCATCCTGCAGTTTCCATTGCACATCATGACAGAATTTCATTGGTAGATGGTTTTTATGTCTTTACTTTTAATCGTGCACATCTCTGACTTCAACGATTAGCTTTTTAACAGTTCAGTGTGATATTGCAGTTTCCGGCTAATTGGCAAAGACATTTTGGCACTTTATTGAGATCCTGCGTCTGAATACTTCTTGTTGTTCCAGAGAGATCTGCTGTTTAGTCGATCTCTGACTCTTAAAGCGTCCGTTGATTTGTTTTTCTGTTTTAGGATAATGGATATTGATTAATTCAATAAATTATAGTCTTCCAGCATTGAGTGTATGGTACTGACCCGCTGAATCAGGGGAACTGGACTTATTTATGCACTCCATATGGAAATCTGCTGTGCTTATGTAATGAACCTACTGAAGCTGATGCAAATGGTTTTTGCATGTGTTGCATATGCATGTGGTCACATCTTTAAATCTGATGGTCGATGTGTGGAAATTATCCACAGTTTCCAGTGGATGCTTACGTTTGTACCGATGACCTTTCCTTGGCCCTGTAATAATAAACAAAGTCATGTGACCTGTCCCTGATGTTATTAGAGATGCAGCCCGGATTTTCTACCATTCAGCATTTTTTATTGCTGAAGGGAGGATAATGATTTCAGGGTGAAATCTTCGGTCATCAGCAGCACGTTGGTTCGTAGGTTTACAGAACATGAATCACAAATGAGATCCAGCCTGTTGAGAGCTTTCTGAAAGGAGATGAAGATTAAAAATAAGTTCTATCTATCTAAAAATAAAATCTATTATTTAATTTAATTAAATTTAATTTAAAGTAAGTATATAAAGTTATATTTATTATATACGAATCATTTATTACAACAAAACTTTTATTTATTTAATTCATTTTCTTATTTTATTTTAAAATAAGTATATAAGTTATATTTATTACAAGAAAATCATATTTATTTATTTATTTTAATTATTTTATTTTAAAATAAATGTATAGGTTATATTTATTACATAAGTATCGTTTATTTAAAAAATATTTTATTTTATTTTAAAACAAGTATATAAAGTTATATCTATTATGTAAGTGTCATTTATTACAAACAACAACAAAAACTCTGTTAGTTCTGAACTAAACATTGTCTTTAGGAATGTGACTAGTAAGTAATTGAAGGATTTTGGTTCAGATTCTGATTTACCCTTTACAATTTCAGTGCCTTAATGATAAAATTAGAATTTTTTTTTTTTAAGAAGAATTTGTCAAAAATGCAGGACTTTTCATTGAACTGTGAAGTCATTATTAATTAATAATGACTTCACATTTCAATGAAAAGTCAATAATTAATTCAGCCAGCCATTAGACTGATTCAAACATATAACTGTGCTGCAGATGAGAGATTTGTGAGTCTTTTAGCTTGATTCTTTAAAAAGAACCAGCACATAAGAGTCATTTATTTTCTAATCGGACTAAAACTGGTTTGTTGTTGAAGCAACCAGTGAAGATAATGCAATAGAAGTTTTGAGTTTTGCATTATTTTGTCTTACTTTTTCATTGCATTCAATTAAGTCTGTAAAACTCAGATAAAATATCATTTTGTTTTCTCTGCCACTATAGATTTAATAGCTGCTCAGACATCCAAGAACAGAACTGATAACATAAAATCGTTTTTTTAAAACAAACTTTTACAAGAACAATCCATCATTCTCAGCCATAATGAAAACACAAATCCTGAGATTTTCCCAGTGATCTCAGGAGTAACTCATTACCAGATGATATCACAGATACTGACGTTGCGTGGGAATTTAAGACCTGTTTTGGAGGGAGGTGCGCAGAGGTTAAAGAGGACAGCAGATAGAGAGAGAGAGAAGACGAGTCAATAATTGTTGGCAAGTTTTATTTCTCTGATTTACAGCGGAGCTCTGCGGATCACTGGAGCAGTGAGACGAGGATTTTAAAGATGAGGAAGGAGCGAAAGGAAAGCAAGCTGTTACTAGGCAACAGGAAGTCAACACCCTCCATCAGATATCATTTATTCTGATTTAGCTCTCAGCATCTTTCAATCATAAAACGGGAGGAGGAAATATGGAGAGAAGAATGGATAACTCTTCACCTTTTCTTGGAGGCACAATAATTCTTCATTCCCCTGTGTGTCACGATGGGTCGTTCGGGCTCAGAGGTCGCGCCATCAGAACTAATGAGGTCAAAATCAATGTCTGCAGGTGCTAATGTGCTAATGCTAAGGTGCGGTCTTGCGTCATTGCGGCTTACAGCTTCTGCTCACAGACTTACTAGGAGTTTAAATCAGCATTTAAAATTCAAGGAAAGTGAATGAGGAGGCTGTCAAACTCTAGAAATGACAAAGTCAGTGGGTTTAAGTGAATGTGGCTTCAAACAGTGGCTTTCTTGTAAGGGGTGTGTCTTCAAACTGTTGGTTGGTTTAAGTGGGTCTAGCGTATGATTAAAATGATGAGTGGGCCCGGTGACGTTTTGCTTGACTCCAAAAGAGTTTATTAGGTCAGTAAACGCAAGTCCTAATGCATCATTTGTATTATCAACGTGAATGTTAAAAGTCTTCAGTCTGTTGGTTAGTTTAAGTGGGCGAGGCTTCGAACAGTGGGTTTGTGTTAAAGGGGTGTGGCTTCAAACTGTTGTTTGGTTTAAGTGGGTGTGGCTTCAGTCTGTTGGTTAGTTTAAGTGGGCGAGGCTTCGAACAGTGGGTTTGTGTTAAAGGGGTGTGTCTTCAAACTGTTGGTTGGTTTAAGTGGGTGTGGCTTCAGTCTGTTGGTTAGTTTAAGTGGGCGAGGCTTCGAACAGTGGGTTTGTGTTAAAGGGGTGTGTCTTCAAACTGTTGGTTGGTTTAAGTGGGTGTGGCTTCAGTCTGTTGGTTAGTTTAAGTGGGCGAGGCTTCGAACAGTGGGTTTGTGTTAAAGGGGTGTGTCTTCAAACTGTTGGTTGGTTTAAGTGGGTGTGGCTTCAGTCTGTTGGTTAGTTTAAGTGGGCGAGGCTTCGAACAGTGGGTTTGTGTTAAAGGGGTGTGGCTTCCAGCTGGGGTGATTTTTAGCGGGCGTGGCTTCAAACCATGGGTTGTTTATATGGGTGTGGCTTCAAATGGTGGGTGTGTTTTAGTCAGTGGGTTGGTTTAAGTGGGTGTGGCTTTAATCCGTGGGAATTATAGTGGTCTATCCCCAGTAAACAATGCTAAAGTATTAATAATATAGTATCATAATTTTAATTAATATTTACATTTTTGCCTTTTTTATATTATACATACTTTATATATACTATATATACTTATATTCATTTTAATTTTAGCCTATTTTTTGTTATGTACTTTCATTTTTTTATATTTCTGTATAGCTTTAATTTATTTTTATTTCAGTTTTAGTTTTAGTCATTTTACTACTTCAACTCATTTATTTCACCTAGTTGTCAAGGCAACATTTAAAGTTCTTTTAATTTGAACTTTTTCGTATTTATATATTCTTATATATATTTATGTATTAATTTTAATTTTTTATTTTATTTCAGCTTTATTTTAATTACAATATA